TACGAAGTGCAGTAAATACGGCGAAATCTGGTGCAAACACAACACCACTGCACCAACAATGCCTGAACCCTGTAACAGGACAGTGCAGCAACAATTCGCGGTTTACTGCGGCATAATACAGCGGCATAATACAGCGGAATGTGAGCATATAGCAATACATCACAAATCAATTCCTCCCGTGGAGAAAAAGTCACTAAAACACGATTAAACAGACTACAAGGAGACGGAATGCAGCTAACACAAAGTACGTGATACGTTGCTATTAATAATTATGAAAAATGGTCTTGTTTTTGTAGGGAGACATTGCAGGTTGGAAAGACCAAGGGTGCGGTTTTCTGCTTCCAGTAACCGGCCAGTTCCCTCGCCGATGAACATGATGCCCAGCACGTGGCCAAATAACGATAGATATTACACGAACCAAAGAAACGGAGCCCCTACAAAACATACCCCTCATCCCAATTATCCCGTGGGGCTGTCACCAGGAGTTGCACCTTGGATGCGGCCTTCTGTTCCAAACAACTGGCCTATTCCATCATCGATGAACATTATGCCCAATGCTTGGCCACATGCAAACATGTGTTACACGGACCGAGCAAACGGTGTCCCTGCAAAACTGAATCCACATGCCTATAATCCTGCGGGGCCTTCACGAGGGGTAGAACCACGGCCTCGGCCTTTTTTCTCCAACAACAGGCCGACTCCTCCACCGATGAATATTATGCCCAATGCTTGGCCAAATGCCAACATGTGTTACATGGACCAAGGAAACGGTGTATCTGCCGTGCAGAATCCAGATGCTGGCAATCCCATAGGGCCTATGCCAGGAGTAATGCCGTGGCCACAGCCCTTCATTTCTTCCAACACTTGGCAGACTCCTTCACCATTGAACGTTAGGCCAAACACATGGCCAAATAACAACGTGCCTGACAAGGACCAAGGATTTCAGATACCTGCGGAGCAAAATCCATTTCCTTATAACAACGTTGGACCCGGCCCGATACAAGTTCAACAGTTATCATCATACCCAACAGGTTTGTTGTTCACATTGCGGTTC